GCAGGAGTAGGAGTAGGAGTAGTAGTAGAAGGAGGAGTAGTAGCAGGAGTCGCAGGTAGTAGCAGGAGTAGTAGTAGGTAGCAGGAGGAGTACTAGTAGTAGTAGTAGTAGTAGCAGTAGTAGTAGTAGTAGAAGTTGTTGTAGCCGTAGCCGAAGCGGCGGCAGCAGGAGGAGGAGGAGGAGTGGAAGCAATAGTAGTAGGAGCGGCAGCAGCAGTAGTCGCTGCTCTACAAGCTTCTACTGCCACTACTATACCACCACTACAACAATCGCCGCCAGCACTATCACTGGCAACGGCACTGGCACTCGCACTAGCGCTAGCGCCTGCCACCAGTACTGTACCAGTACCACTAAAGCTACCACTCCCGACCAGCCTTTACCAGTACCTGTACCAGTACCACTACCATTGCCACTACCACTACCACTCCCACTCCTACCACTACCACTACTACCACTACTATACCACTACCACCACTACTACCACTACCAGTACTACCGCTACTACGACTACTACCACTACTGCCGCTACTGCCACTACTACGAGTACTAACACGACGACGAATGCTATAACTACTAGCCACGACTGCTAGAAGTAGACTTGAATCCCAAGTTCTTCAGTCCGAGTCTCTGAAGACTCGCCCACTCCAGTCCCCTGATGCCGGAAGCTTCCAGCAGGTCAATGCGAGTCTCTGGGGCAGCAGCGGTGGCGCCGAAGTCAGCGAGAGGTGGGCTTGAATCTAGACAAAAATCGACAATAGTAGAAGTACAGAACAAGGAGTGTTACTTATGTATCGAAGAGATGATGTACTACGAGAGTCTAATGCAATGCTCACATGGCAGAGCATGGTACGAATTTTACAGTGTGTGCAACACGTGGTACAACCTGTCGAAGTGCAGGATCGTGTGATCGTGCAGCCAAGCATAGCTCAAGGTAGCAACTTAAAACATATTATCATGTAAAGCAACCCGTCACATCGACGTCTGAATGCATAGCCAAAGATAGACATAGACCGTGTTGAGTGTGTGCATACACATATATAATCACACACACACACACATATATATATATATATATATGTGTATATATATATATATACGTCGTTATGTGTGTGGACATGTGTATATGTATCATATACATACATACCTACCTACCTACCTACCTACCTACCTGCCTGCCTGCCTGCCTGCCTGCCTGCCTGCGTGCGTGCGTGCGTGCGTGCGTGCGTGCGTGCGTGCGTGCGTGCGTGCGTGCGTGCGTGCGTG